AACCCTGATTACAAACTAACCATGAGGCGTACGAAATTTCCGGTTGTAGCAATGGTGACCAGCTCGATTGAGCATGGAGGTAAAATGGGCACCTTGGACGTTTGATGTCGTCCAAAGGGCGTATGATTCAGTGAACTGGACACCGGTTCCCAATAGACTGCGATTTTCACACACCGCCCCGCTGCCTTGCGGGTCAGGCTTTGGCTAGTCAAAGGCTCCGGCTGTGGATCCCTGGCAGTATTCTGCCCAACTGCAAATCATGGAGCGTTTTTCTTGTGCATAAAGATTATTGTACCATGATTTGTTTGGCACACAGTCTGGATTCAGACGTGTGTGAAAATATAAACATATATACAAATTCCACTTCGGAACACCAAATTGTATGACTACGTGACTACTGTGTGAGTAAAAGCAGTCATCTCTACCGTAAATCTCCACGCCCCTGATGATTCGGAGCCAAAGGGAGAGAGAGAGTATAACTCAGGGACGCCAAAGTGAAAACCGTTGTTCACTGGATGTTTTTCGAACAGACAATCATATATCGTATTAAGAAGAACAACGACAACCGTGGGTAAAACTTTAAATAAAATAACCCAATCAGATACGTTATTCAAGACATTCCGCTGTAGCGATAATCGTGTAGGCATTAAAAAGAATTTCGGTGGAAATCGCCCGCCTAGTAACGGCGGAGGACAAAATTCAACAAAACCAGCTCTATATGATCGAAAAAAGAGGTAACATTAGCTAGTGCGTTCTCGCTTCACTTTTTCAAGTGTAAAATGGATTAGATTAGCGGATTCAATAAGAACAACTGGCGTGCAGACATGGAGCCCTAAGTGTGGTGAACCCCATAGTCATGAGGACTTGCTGTTCAGTGGTGGAAAACGGCAACCTAAGCCCCGGGACTTGGAGTGGCGAATCACACAATGCCCCGATAGGTTAGGCGTGGTATTGAACCGGAGGAGTTTAAAATCAATACTTACTAATGTACACCTCGCTTGTACATTTACACTGATTCATTAAATTCGCAAGAGCTAGTCCAGTTCGACAATCCTATAACTTAGGAATCCCAGCAGATTCTCGGGTATGACCAGAAAAGTTTGCCATTTTCCCATTACGAGAGAATAACCTCCCTGGCATCCGAATGGCAATAATTGAGCAGAGAAACAACATCATTTATGGTGGAGATTGCGGAACGAGAAAACAATGTGTTTGAATAAAGAAGCCAAGAACAGGTTTGTATAATGTATCCTAGATCATTTCGCTGCATCTGTACACGTGTATACTGCAGTCTATGTGATCATTAATAAATGGTCAGTAAATAACAGAATCATAGGCGGTCAAAATTACTCATCAAACACATTTTTTACCAGAGTAGCGTCACATAGACTGCAGTATGCACGTGTACAGATGCAGCAAAATGATCCAGGATACATTGTGCAAAACTGTTTTTGGTTTCTTTATTCGAATTCGTTACGGGGAAACTACGCTTCCAAAACAATGTGTGATGGTTTTGTAATTAGACCTGAGAAACTCGCCATAATCTCACCGATTTCCCAAATCGCTCTGCGATAAGCACATGAAATTCCATTTATTCGCGTAAAGTGATTCCTGTTGCACTTAGTATTATTGAAACCATAAGAACAGCACCGAACAGTGGCACGCAAATTTGAGTGCACATGCGCTCTGACTTGGTATCAGAGTGAAGCGATGCTGCATTGAGCTATTAAAAGGATCGTTCAAGTGGACAGGGGAATCAGACTGGTGAAGCAAGTTGAACAACAGCAGCAGCATGAGCAAGCGGGCTTTCTGCTCAACTATATTATTTCCTCCCGTGTTGAAAATGTTGTTCGATTGATCGTTTGTTTTACTGCATAATTTGTGTTTTTATGATCGGTTGGTATAAGACTTTAATTCTGCAAACCGAACAATCTGATTGGTTCAAGCTTAGATATGAACGCCTGCGATTTCCTTCCCAAATGTAATTTGTGTCCGGTGCACCTAAAAAACATATTGAGAGCACTTCCTAAAGAATCGACTATCGACAATAATAATAATAATAATTGGACAATAAAAACGGTACTGCAGTCGGGAACAAATTGCATTAATCTCTGTCAAACCTGGGTCTTATTTGTAGGGGGGGGGTGGCACACAGCAGTAGCATGACAACACATATATGCACGCTTACTTTTCCTGAGACAGTCTGAGTAACTCATCGTTCCAGTTATAGTTCAAAAATATTCCGTCAATCCCTGTATTCAAAAATACCTGATTCTCTTCGGTCAATGCGTTCTGGTAGGTTAGTTTACCTGAACGCGTCACTGAATCGTACCTGAAACAGAATTCCGCATAAATTAGATCTTAGGACGAATGTGGTTCAATCGCTATGACAGAATAAAAAAAGGTTTTTCGCCAAATCCCTTAATTTCATCACAAAGCAGCAAATGGTTTAAAACGGAGGTTTATTCACTTGAATGGGTTACACCGACTAAGACAGCAAATATGAGCCCAACTCTAAACGAGGAGATTGCGTATTATCAGATCAGCAGAGCAATCCCAATATTTGAGGAATGGTTAAGTCCTCGGTTGGAGACAATCTAGTGTGTAGCACAGGTGCACACAAACCATGGATTACGACCAGGTGAGATCCCCATGACCCGTCAACTCTGGGTTTGTGAATGACAAAAACCGGTGGATTCAAAGTTTCCGTGGTTGTTTTATAACGGGGCAAGCGGATTAGCAACACCTAGTTGGTCAAAAGGTATCTCAGTCTCAGGTAAAAAAACTGTATATAGAAAGAATTGACATGAACAGCCATTGTTGACGAGATAGAACACATGTAGCGCATATTTGACAGTCAGCTACCGTACCGCGGCTTACCTGTTGTGGCTGTCCTAAACTTGGCAACCCAATTGCGCAACGTGTAACTGAGTGGAGCATTTTTATCACTCTAACAGTTGTCACATTGACCGTGACCGTGACGCGTGGTTTTCGAATGCAGCGCTTCCGGTAGGTATCACTTCACGCGTTCAAACGGAGCTTGCGCGTGATATAAACGAATATATGTAAGCAACGAAAGACCAATTAGTCTGTTGGTTCACGAAAATACCAAACGCAGTAGATCGACTTCGTCACAATGAAATGTTGAGACGCGAAAACTGGAAATCAACTTATGCAACTATGACATCATGCTTGCCGTAAAAGATTTGTGAATCTTTTATTACCCAAACTTTAACATTTATCCATTTTTGAGCTACACCATATCCCAACTCGTTGCGCTCTATACGAGACCTGAAATTTATATGCTTTCCCTCTTTTTCTATTTCTGTTTAACTGCATTACCGCCCTTTATAATTGTTGATTTTATATTCTGACCTTGACGCACTAGTTAAATCGCCGTCGTGTCAATCTAGTCGTGAGTACCTATTTTATATATATTTGATACTGTAATTATTTATAGAACCACGTTCAATATTATTACTGCTGCCCAAAGCCATTTTTTCTGCCCAGACCGTGCGTTTAGTCTAGATTCACAGGATCGCTGTTTACTGCTAGCCGCCGTCATTAGACTTAGCTCACTTGTCCTACCTTACGCGTTGTTTTCCTGCAGTACGCTGTGTATTGTTCACAGAGTCCTTAAGCGCAATTGAAATTTCGTCGTACGTTATATCTGTTATCGTTCTCGTAACACTTGCTATGCCATGAGTGCACAGCCAACAAATAAATTGAGGAAAATACCCAAACTCCAAAATACCTAGCCTACTCACAGTGGTAGTACCACATGAAGAGCATACTCAATCAGCGGATTTGAATGTTATTCAGAGAAGTAAAAGGTAGGTGGGTGGATTTAACTAAAAGGATCAAACCCTCACCAGATCACTTCCGATCCAAGAGATTTCACAAGGCGTAGAAAATTTATTATTCGGCCAACCACTTTAGACGTTACCTCCTAAAACAAAAACAGAAGAGGGTAAAATGTAGGTTACAATCTGCCATGATCAACTTCTCACCACCAAAAACAACACAGTGATGGATATCCAAATATGGTCTTCCTCATGGAAACGGCGTTCTCACTAACATCATTGACATCACAGTCGGTTCTTCTTGATGGCTTGAGGAAATGGTTGGAGCCTTTGCACTGCTTCTGAATGAATCACTTTTATTAAACAAGGACACTTCACCCATCCTAGGAGATACGTTCCAGAGACCCTTGTGGGAGATGAAAAATTTTAAGGCCTATGAATCCTGCCCAAAATACGATAAATGATTTCCACCTTCTCATACACACTTCACTAGCTCTGGAACATCCTCAAAAAACGCTTAACATTCTACATGAGTACTAAACAGTAAAGCATACAATTGAATGGTAAAGATCACAAACTATGTAATGTGCAGTACTGAAACAGCCATTTCCTCGTGCGATGATAGCGGTACCGTTTTACTTCCGGGTGGCAGACTATCTGATCTGGGGTATGCAGATGACAATGTACTGCTAAGTTAAGATCCAGGTAAGTTGCAAGCTTTACTGGATAGTCTGAGTGCTAGTGCGTTTTGAATCTTCGAAGTTCAAAATGTTACTACAAGACTGGGTTGGTCCAGCCCCCAACCTTACTGTAACTGAGGCAGCTATATCTCACCTGGCAGACGACTCACAGATAAAGTGTTGGCACGCATACAAAAGGCTCCATTGGCATTTGCCAATTTGGGACATCTGTGGCACCGCCGCGAAATCCAGTTTTCCGTGAAGGGTCGGGTGTATGCTACGGTAGTTTGGCCAGTTCTGCTACATACAGTAAAACTTGGCCATTAAGAAAACAGGATAAAGACAGACTGTCGGTGTTTGAACACCGCTGTACATGTAGCATTGCACGGATCTGGCGGGGCAACCGAACGAGCAAGGCTGAGGTTGGGCGCAGATTTTTAGGTAATCGCAGTCGCCCATTGGAACAAGCAATCGACCGTCATAGATTCCGCTGATTTAGGCATGTGTTACGCACGCCACCAAATAGGGTGCCACGGCGAGCGATGTTTGCTGAGGCAGGTAGCGGACGGAAAAAAGGTCAAGGGTGATCGAACTAAGACCTGGCACGCGGGTATGAAAACCCAACCTAGGATACTGAGTTACATAGGTGCCATTAGGCTAAAATAGGGACCCCGAGATCATGGTAACCGGTGGTTAGAGACGCTGAGTGATATGGCTGTGTTGGAAACAGTGATGCTCGTGCATCTCAATATTCTTGCAACCCCGGTTTATATGAATTCTCTATCTTCCCTTTGAATTTGCTCTCAACATTCCAATCTTCATTTTCCTCTTTTATCCAAATGGGCAGCTGAAAGATAGCAACCAAAACCGGCACAAGAAAGTGCATGGTTAGTGGTTGTAAAAGATGAAACTGACAATTATGTTGCTGACGATGAAACTAGTGTACTGCTGGAAGAATAAGGGCATGATAAGTGTTCCGATGGCACCACTGTGTCAGTTTTTGAACTATCTTTGGCATGGGTCGTGACTTATATTTCCCGCTAAAGGCGCAGACGTAACTAATCCATCTATTCATCATAGTTATAAGGAATTTTTGGCGCTGTTTGTATCACATTATACACTTGTTGTTTGATAAAATACATGCGGTATTTTATTTTAACTTAATATTTTTGAATGCTTCAATCGATTGCTTTACTTCAAATTTTCAGATAAAATATCTGAAAGTATGCATGTTAGATGAATGCTCATATACTGAAAAATCCCACGATATAGCGTAAGTTCAGCAGAATGGAATGATGTGATCTTTTAAAATAAAGTCAAGATAGAGTGAGGCCGCAATAAGCGGACAGCATTGAGTGAGGAAAAACTGTATACCCTTCCGTGAAGAACAGTAAAGGGAGTATTACTTACAAGCATAATAACCGACTGTTTAATTGTGAAAACCAGTAATGTGGATACTGTGAGTTGAATTGATGAACCACATACGGTCCCAGGGGGTCAGCACATTTTCGAGTAGGACGACAATTAACCTATTTTTGGTAATGGCGGAGACAGAACCTCAGATCTTGGAGAATGATGTGCACCGGTGACAGCTTATGCTGTCGGATGAACCACTGTTAAGCTTATTTCAGAGAATGTGTATCGCTTGATTACGAACCTCCTCAATCAACTTCGATTGACTGCATCAACAATAATTCATGAAGAAACTTCATTCATCTGCATATCTTATGTGGCATGTGTTTATTCAAGTAGAAGGCCGTAACTCATTGTGATTAGTCACCCCTGCCGATGAGACACTGGCCATTTTAATTCAGCACTGGAAGCACC